CGCTGTGGCTGGGCAGCCGGAACAAAGGCAGGAAGGAAGGAATGCAGGCAGGAAGGCAGGTAGGAAGGAAGGAAGGCAGGCAGGAAGGCAGGTAGGAAGGAAGGAAGGCAGGCAGGAAGGCAGGAAGGCAGGAAGGCAGGAAGGAAGGAAGGAAGTAAGCTAGCTAGCTAGCTAGCTGGCGGCTGCCCTGAGCCCCAGGAGCCAGCCCTCCAGGAGATGGGGCTACACTCATGGTCCCAACATGGGCGGGAAATCCCTGTGAAGGTTTGAGGAAGCAACACCAGTAGCTGCAAAGACGGATGCTTTTGCTATGTAGAGATCTGTCAGTGTTGAGCAGCCCTGGGCTGGATAGGAACCTAGGTATGCATTTCCAAAAAAGCAAGTGAGCAATGTGAAAATAAAGGTTTTCCTGAGACAACAGCTTTCTGTCTGCGTGAGATTTTAATTGGTTGACAGAACTGTAAAATCTTCGACTGCAGGGTGCGGGTGTGTTCGTAACAAAAATCAGGCACATTCAGTGAACCAGCAAATAATACACAGTCACTAGTATGGCTATTAACCATCCGCCCAGATCTTTTAGTGCAATAGAGTTGAACATGGAAATACAACGAATGGGGATATTGCTCAGAAGCACATTTTAAGTTGCATTAAACATGTAAAGTGCATTTCAAATTAAACTGAAGCATTTGCTTACAGCCAAAATGCCTTGTTTTTGTTTACAGCTGATGTCCATCAGGTTTCTTTCTGAAAGGAACATGTACATGCTACTCAGTGTGTAGAATAATAATGTTTCTGTATTATTATTTAAATAGATTTCACTTTCTACTATCTCATTAGTATTTTGCTTTGAATGTAATACACTGGCAACTACTCTGTTTACTCCTTCATTAATATTTTAAAAGTATATAATCTTTTTTTCCTCAGAGATACAGGAAGCAGCAAAATGGAACGAACCCATCACTGAGCTCTTCTGTTACTGTATTTATGGTACATGCTGATGCATTATGGAAACTTTTTGAGAAAAAGTAAGAGCAGGGGTTGGTTTCTACATGTGCGGTAACACAGTGCTTCCATTCCTATAATATCCCTTGAGTAGTTCTTTACCTGCATGAATTATTCCTGTGCAACCTCTTCTGTACATGAAACTTTACTTACAGGGTTTATCTTGCTAAATAATAATTTTTAAAAAACTCTGTTCTGTCCATTCCCTGACCATTTCCCATTTGTTCAAACACCTTCCTCTGGTTTTTATTCCTGGATGTTCTACCTACAGCTGATTGTCCTCGTGTAAAAAACTGGGCTTGAGGTTCCATTAGTTTATTTGGAGGAAGGCACTGCACAGTGTTTAGCTGGCACTCAGTGGGAAAAAGAATGTACCTGGAGCAGAACTGAGGGGAAAATAGAGGAGAGACAACTTCCATTCCCTCGAGGGTTGTACTTCTGCCTTTTCCATTGCGTGCTGAAAAAGCAATTCATTTCCCTGTTCTTATTACCTTGGTGTTATTTTTATCTGTATCACTGTTCCTTATTATTTGTGTTGTTATAATGCCTAGATACCTCAGCCAAGATCAAGACTGTACAAGTACGGCCCGATTCTGCCAGTAAAATACTGCAAACGCTAATGGAAGAGGCAGGAATAAGGACAGAGAAAGCAAACCTTGTTACAGCTCTATGTAGAGAGCAAGACAGAGGCAGACTAAGGGAGATGTGCCTACATCTAGTGGTGTGGTGCCAGTCTGGACATCCCAGTGTTCCCAGAAGAGGTGGCAGGTTCCTCCGGAGGCAGTCGGACAGCCGGCTGCCAGCACGGCTTGCTGCCTCTGCTCAGGTAGCCAGACACCTCTATTCAGCCCACTTGAGGTCACTTGCTGAAGGTTGTGCAAGGAGGGTGTAGCAAGGCTGCGCCTCAAATAAATCCCAAGAGCTCCAGTTCACTGCCTTCATCACAAATTAATTCTTCCAGTTTTCAGCTTCTCTTTTTTCTTGCTCCCAACCACCTACACTACTGCTGTTATGGAGCAGAATATCCTTTCCTGCTTTAATTTTTCCTTCTTTCTGTTTCGATCTATGGTTTTGGCTCCTGTCCCTGTCTCCTGCTCAGTGGAAGGCTGAACGCTACTTTGCTGGGAGGCTGTGTTATAGAATGCTCTCTACCCCTGCAGCTCTTTTGTCGGCATCGCCCCACACCCCCAGCATGCTGAATAACTCTCATGTGCTCCGAAGCGCAGGGATCGATAGCCTTTGCAATGTTATTTTATCTGGAGTGCCAGTAGCTGTTGGTGGACATGCAAAGAGGTGACGTGATAAAAAACTCGTGTCTATGAAATACCCACCCACAATCAGCTCTTAATTACATACCTGTGAAAGAATTTTTCTAATTTGTATTAGATGTGTTCCCTTTTGAGAGTCATGTGATACATATATTTTTGGCAAGATAATGTAGAAAAGATTGACCTTCTTAACACAATCTATTATCCCCTGTAGTCACAGCTTTCTTTCTTTTCATGACATTAAGAAGTCATTCCATTTCTGTGTTGACATTTTTATCTTCTCTTTACATCCTTTCCAAAAGCCGTGTAATTTATTGAATTTTTGCTGACAAATAAAAGGAGGAGAAAGGAAAATGGCATAAACCCCCACATACAGCAAATGGCAAGGGCATGCTGTATTGCTCCGATGCAGATGAGTAACTTTTCAGCATTCATTTCTCACTTCACCACTTTAGTTCCACTGTCTTTTCCTTCTGGTTCTGCTGCAGTTCTCTTTTACCCAGTATTTTGGCCCTGACATTTGCTGTTTTTTCATTGTTTGCAATTGCCCCTTCTTTCCTTAGAATTCATCGATTTGATGAACTCTGTCTCCAATTCCGTTTAGTCTCTCTGGCAACCCCTTCAGGTAATACTTCGCTTTAAAAAATTGTATGTAGAAGAGTTTTTTAACTCCACACTATCTATAGTTCATCACGTCACTGTCAATGTGCCATGTTTTTGTTTTACATTACCAAATCTGGGCAAATCCATGTTACTTACCTACTTAACAACCACCTTGTGAACAGAAGTAATTTTAGGGTTGGAGCACCTTGTCCTAAGGCCAAGTTAAGTGGCCAGCGCTGGCTTAGTTAATGCAGAGCCATCAGAACAGAGATTTTCATGCGAATGGGCGCTAGTGGATGATGAGAAAAGCTGTAGCGATACCTACCTCTTATTCCACTACAGGAAGACAACCTCTGACTATTCTGCATTAGATCAATGCTGTCAACTGCTGTGTTGTCCTTCATCCTTAATGTAACTATGGCATGGCCTTTGTAGCAGATGCAGGCTGCAGGAGGTCTGAAAGGGCTTTAACTATGCCTTGCCCCAGTCAGTTGGAGTGCCGCTCTCCTTTTTCTTCAGGCAGCAGACTGCCTGAGCTGGTCTCCAGCCAGGCCAAAAGGTTGGGCCAGGTGTTTGGTGTGCCCTCAGCAAGCTGCTCCAGAGAGCCTGCCAGCCACGCAGCCATGGGTGCAGGAGAGCTGCTTCGGTTCTCTGTGCTTCTTCCCATCTTCTGACAAAATGGCCACACCAAGAAAGCCACTGCTACCAAAACACGGCTGGAGAAGGCGGCGGCTGAGCTCATCCAGGTACACCCTCGTCTTGAGACTGCGCATGAAGCAGCCAACGAAGGAGACGGGTGACTTCATCGCACTTTGAATCTAAATGTGGCTATGGAAGAGCATATGGCTGCATGATTGTTTTTTTGAAGGTGGTTTTTTTTCCTGCTCTCTTGCTGCACAGAGAGTTGCTGTCATTTCCATGAGATGAAGTGTGCGCTGGTGTTATCCTTGATGCTGAGATTCACACATACTTTCCTTTAGCGGCCCCAGCCAAACTTTAGAAGAAACTCCTGCTCTCTTGCTGCACAGAGAGTTGCTGTCATTTCCATGAGATGAAGTGTGCGCTGGTGTTATCCTTGATGCTGAGATTCACACATACTTTCCTTTAGCGGCCCCAGCCAAACTTTAGAAGAATTTCTAACCACAGT